CTAGTAGCAAGAAGATACTAGTAGCTCCTGGCATTACTACTAGTAGCAAGAACGCTACTAGTAACAAAGGGCATCACTACTAGGAGCAAATAGCTAGTATTGGCCAGTTAAGGATGTTATATATAAAGGATGTGAATGGTATGTGACCTACTTTTCCTGAGTATAGTCAAATCTGTAAACGGATGTCATCGGTGTGAAGAAGCCCTTCCTGAAGAAGAAAACGCAGCACAAAGCTGTTGGCAAAATCGACAGACCCGGACATATCGTGCGCCGTGCGCCCAGATCTTGCTGCATACGGGAAACCCTCAGACTCTGAGCTTCGTGACATGAGTAAATTGAAGGGAGCATGCTTTGACATCTCAGTAGCTTTCAACATCGGAGATGTGGGTCAATAATTAAGCCCTCCCATCCTCGTTTGTTTATCCTCCATCGCTGAGGCTCATCTAGATCGACTGAGCATCGTCAGCCGGATGTTCCGCGGGGAGGTTGTACACCAGCTCTAGCGGCCCGCATCTCAACTGTACTTCCACACGTGACCGGCATGGTTCACCTGGCGAAGCTGAAATTCTGAAAAAAAAACAAACGGGCTTTACAGAGAATTTACAATCCAAAAGAAAGTAAAGTAGGTGCAAGTCACGTGGATCATTTTCATCTGCGAGTTTGCTTCGTTTCCTCCAAAAAACGGCTGCGATGAGTTGACAGCGTGTCATCCTTCAGAAATCACCGCAAACTCGTCAACTCGTCTACTGGGAATCGCTAGTAGTAACAAGAAGCTAATAGGAACAAGTGCCACGCTAGTAGTAACAGGTGCCTTACTAGTAGTAACAAGAAGCTAATAATTTAATTCATGTTGCCAGAAAATCTTGCCAAGTTCCAGGTTCCTCACGTGGATCGGTCGTGTCCGGTCCGGTACTTGGAAAAAACGGACGTCCAAAGGGCACAAGCTTATTCGACCCAACCATGGCGACTTTGCTGATTCATGAATCAGCTTAAGAGTGTGCTTTTGGGAATGAATGATATACGATGTGGTACCATATACCGGTTGTTCTAGACTCTTGACTAATGTTGGATGCTGATTAGCAATAGGGCCCGCTATAATGCTACTTGTTCAAAAATAATTATCGACACCATGTTTGTTTTAAGGGTTATCTATTATGTTAATTTGTATTTTGTGATCCTAACTGTTTATTATATTTTATTATCTGACAAATGATGAGGTTTCTTAATCCTTCGGAGACCTGTGAATACTACTCAGCCAATGACTGGCTTGCTGAGATTATTGATACGTATAGGTTTCTCTAGTCCTTCTTCAAAACTGACAGCTTCCCAAGCCATCAATTCCTTATCAATCCTTTATGTAAAGGTTGTTCCCTTACAAAAGGAATCCTCCCAGGAGCCCGCTTGTTTAGTGCATGGTAGTTTATTATAGAGGGCCCCCCATATGTTTAGAGGGGGGACCCCTTCTACTAAGCAAGATCCAACATTAAACAAGAATGATGAGGTTTTGCGTAATTGCAATAATTTATATAATGTCAACCAAAGTCGTAGTTAGAAGGTCATTCTATGAGCTCGTTCGTCACCGTCACCGCTTAGCGTTCCGCTTTCTTAACTGCACGCTGCCAAGAAGCTGTTCACAACAGTAACTTACTTGACTGGAACCAAAAAAGACCGAAAATGTACACTCGTGTCTTTGATAGGTTCCTTGAGCTTTCAGAACTTTTGGAACAGCTCAAAACCATCCCAACCAGAAACAGTTCTGGATGTTTCCCCAGTCACCACTTCTATATAGAAAGGATCTGAATTGAAGAACAAAAACCAGTTGTTTCTGGTCCAAACGGGGTTCCAGGAACGACTTTAGTGTCTCCGACGCCTCCCTGTAGACCCTGAACCGGGTGGGTCACACCCATCCGAAGACTGGCCGAGTGGTCGAGTGGCTGAAAGAGGGAATGAAACGCCAAAAAGCCTTGTTCAGTCGAGCCAAAACACGGACTGAACATCCAAAGAAACAAGTAGAATTCAAACCATGTGTTTCTTCTCCGCGTGGTTGCTGAAGCGTAGTTGCCTGAACGCTTGGTTGTTAAAACGGTCAATGTCCCAACTAATCGATACATGTACTATAGACATAGAAACTGTATCCCATGGATGTAAAAAAGAAACATGTTCCACTGCAAGATCCACATTCATCCAAAGGTGCTCCCCACAGCAATGTGTCTGCAGGACCAGCCACGCTCGCCGCTTCCCCCAGTGGAAGAAGGAGCTCATGTTGTAGCCTGGAGGACAGGAAGGCAAGAGGGGATTTTAGGATGCACATTCAAAACCAATGGGCTAGAAGTCTACGTATTTCAATCAACCATCTTTCCCCCAACTGAGAGAAACTATGCAGAATATTGGCAGCTCCGAAGCCACTCAGTTCGGCTCAGTTGAATAAAATCTGTGCCAAACGATCCAAAACGTGGCGCAATGCGCCATGGCCGGTCAGTGACTGGTGCTTTTGGGATGTTTTGGGTGGTGAGTCTAGGATTTCATATGAAAAACTCCACCATGGATCGCTTGGGTTTGCCACGCTTTGCCATGCTACACCAGCCCATCGAACACCTGCGCAGCCGCTGTCGCTTGGCTGCGCCCACCGGCTTCGGCCACGCCGCGAAGGTGATGTGATGTTCTCACGCCCGAAGGTCTAGCCCGATTGGATTCAATCCAAAACATTTCCAACAGCAACATTCTAGAGAAGTCGCCCGACTGGACGCCTGCATGTTGCTGCGCTCCACGCCCTTTTTTTCCACGACTTGACGCTGGAACATCAGTCCGGCACAACCGAGTGTCTGTTGCGGAGAGGATGAGCTGAAAGGACAGTTGCGGGCCATGCCATGCACTGCCACACATGCCACATGAGCCGAGTCCGAAGGCAACTTCACGTCAATCAGAAAAAAAGGAATGGTTTTGTCCAACTATCTTGTTCACTTAATGGAAAATTCATTCCAAACATGGGTCAACATGGGCCTTCTTGTCGATTCCTGTGGCAAACCGCGTGACCAGGGGACAGGCATTTGGTCCCTTTCATGACATCCCCAGTTTAAAGCCACATCAGAATCATTCATGTTGCGCTGAACTCACCGCTGAACGGCCAGCAGGAGTGATTGAAGAGGTCTGATGAGGTTAGAGCATCTCGCGTAGCACACTGGGGTCTTGAATGTCAGCATATTGGGTAGTCTCAGATTAGGCAGGGGCCCCCAGCAATCCCAAAGAAAGCAATCACAAACAGCATCAAACCTCTTCCTGCAAAAATTCGTTCATATGTGCAAATGCCTTACTTCCAACTTGAGGGGAACGGAGCCGCACGGTGGTCATGCCGTTCTTCTGTGGCAAGGTATACAGAACCCCACTCAGCCAGCCGTCACGACCAAATGGTCTCCGTTCAGCTTAGGAAGGGCAAGAAAAGAGAGAAAGGCCAAGCAGGAAAGCAAACATCGTTCCAGGGCTCACTGCTCGCTCCGAAAAATTCTTGCGAACCCTAAGGTGGGTGTCATCTCAAGGCCCAAACGAGTTTTAGTGTTTTTCCACCAAGTTAGTCAAACCATAAATAGAAGTTGAAAGGTAGTCCCACCAGATTTGCATCATGTCCCTCCAATGAAAACTGATTTTAACTCCTGTTCCAATTGACGATCATCACCAGGCCCTTCATCAGCCTGAAGAAACAGACTGTTTAGTATATGAAGACAATTGAAACCTGTACCAAATAAGTAAGATTTTCATCGTCCTCGTGGCCTTTTTCCAAAGACTGGACGCTGGAACATCAGTCCGGCACAACAGAGTGTCTGGGGCCATGCCATGCACTGCCACGCATGCCACATGAGCCGAGTTCGAAGACAACTTCACGTCAATCAGATTAAAAACAACACACATATGGGAATGGTTTTGTCCAACTATCTTGTTCATATGGAAAGTTCTTTCAAACATGGGCCTTCTTGTTGATTCCTGTGGCAAACCGCGTGACCAGGGGACAAGCCTTTGGTCCCTTTCATGACATCCACTGAGTATACACTATATTAGATTAATTCATGTCGTACACCATATTAGATTCATTCATGTTGCCCTGAACCAGCAGAAGTGCTTGAAGAGGTCCGAGGGGGTTAGAGCATCTCGTGTAGCACACTGGGGTCTTGAATGTCAGGGTGTCGGGTAGTCTCAGATTAGGCAGGGGCCCCCAGCAACCCTAGAGAAAGCAAACACAAACAGCCTCAGACCTCTTCAGTGACCTCTTCATTTAAGCCTCAAAAATAATGCATGGACCTCTTCCAACTTGAGGCGAACTCCGTTCAGACAAGAGAGAAAAACCAACCAGGAAAGCAAACAGGGAGGGCTCACAAGTCTTGCAAAGCCTTCAACTGTGGGCGTATTCTCAAAGCCCAAACGAGTTTCAGTGTTCTTCCACCAAAATAGTCAAACCATAAATAGAAGTTGAAAGGTAGTTCCACCAGGTTCACAACCAACCCCCATATTATTCACCAAAGATTGTGATGGACTCGCTCTGCACTAGTCAAAGGGACTCGGCCTAAAATACTTTTCTTTTCAAACCACAACATTACCTCTAGTGGTACATGAGCACTGCTTGCCTCAAAAAAAGTATCCAGCCATTTGGAATCCAAATGAATCCAACCATTTTCAGGTCATAGCATTTTCTCTGTGTTTTCTACAGTCTATTGTAGTGAGGAGGGAGGCACACCCTGTACCAGCCCATACGAACTGCAAAAACTTGTTGTAGGAAAACACTATTGGACCTAAATGACTTCTCGAATCTTCGAGTGAACTTTCATGTCATCTTCACCGCACTTCTGTTACTCTGAGCAATTAAAAGAGTGAAACTTGAAAGTCTCGACAGTCTCCGACAGCGAGCGGACAACAGGGCAATGATAAACCTCTCATCTGCACAGTTCCCTGTGTCGCTTCTAGTCTTAAGTATACATGGATGAATATGGATGCACATGGAAGGCGGATATAGGTCAAAAGGTGGCATGCGAACCTAGAGACTGGCGCACTGGGTGTGCCGAGGACCACACCTAGTACCAATCCAAGGAGTATTGCTTGAGAAGTTTAGCAAGTTCACCTGTTAATTAAAATCACCTGCACGTTCCGCGTGTTGCCTCTCATGGCATTTGAGATGTTGGCATCGATTAATTGAAATGAGAGGACCACGTGTCCACAAACAAGATGGCAAGCATGTCTCCAGTACCAACGAGCCACCACACACCTCGTTATGAAAACTCAAATCTTGGACACGTCCATCTCAAGGAGTTCCACCTGCAACTTCCGCCTGCCTACTGGTAGCTCTTGACTTCCTCACGCGTTTCCGCCAATGATTGGAGCAAAAGCGCGGCCAGGCGGCCCCCAACGTAGGAGCGCACTAGACCGACAAGGCTGATGAAGGACATGAGCTCGAGACGTTGGCGAATCTTCCGCGGAGGGGGCGCCACTGGGCTCCCCGCCGCGGTGGGCTCCTTTGCAGCACCTGTGTGGAGTTTGCCAGCCCGGTCGGCCGAACAAGACTCAGGTTGCAGCAGGACATAGCCGGACTGCATTCTTATTAACTGATGTTTTGTATCTGGATGTTTCTGGTTTGCTGTTTTTCACAAGTCTGCGCCCTATCGCTCCAACACATCTCATTCAAGACTACTTCGGTCTCCACAAGCCATGGGACTGGAAAAAAGAACATGCCGATCAGTTGGGGTGATTGGAAGATGTTGGAAGGGTAGTAGGTAAAAGTTACATACATGAATGGTCTGAGTTTGGCTTTAATCTTTATGAGGCATAGCCTACCTAAGACAGGGGTTCCGGGTGAAACATCTGCAGCTCATCCCGTCATTTCTGGACATACTGCCCCTGGGATCCCTGGGCAAAATCCGAACCCAGGTCTTCATCTCTGTTTCTCCCCGGTCAATCCACCCAAGGGTGGGTGGGTGGGTTTCTCCCCGCCCAGGCGAGGGCCGGCCAGTTGGCCTTCGGCACTGCGGATGGTGAGCTCACATTCAATGAGCCGCAGGATCTCCTGTGCTCCGCGAAGCTCCATCTCCTGCGATGCCGAGACCGGGGGCGGACCCGGTGACCCGGGTCGTTTCACCGTGCAACACCGGGAGGCCGAGGCCAAAAAAGATCGATGTGGTGTTTTTGCGCCACGCTAGCCGCGTTGGAAGAGAATGAAGGAGTAAACGAAGTGTGATGTCGAACTAGAAACATCTCACTGGGATGTAAACAATGAACAGCAATGAACAACAACAACAACAACAATGAACAACAACCCTAAGCCCTAAGAATCCGGGCCCGACCAAAAGAAGCGCAGGGTCGGACCTTCTCCAAGTTTCGGGGTGGCCCGACACCGACACCCTATTTGCTTGAGGGTCCGGACTCTGAAGGTGAATCCGTGAGCTATAGTTTGGGTATATCCTATATATCCAGTACCCAGGCCCAGTGGATGGTTTTCCCAGGTTGCAGGCTTTCAAAAAAAAAAAGGTGACAATCGTTCACCGACTGTTACTGGTTTACTGGAAGACACCCTGACCTGGAACAAATCATCTTGCATCTCTTGCGAACAACACCTGACACATCTTGAAACCCTAAACCCATCTAAACCGCCCCAAGGTCTTCGACAGTTCATGGCCCGCGCGGGAAGCGAAGCGCTTCGCTCGTCCCTCAGTGGGAGAGCGTTCAAGTCTCCTCAGCTTGAGCCTTCATAGGTGGAAGCACCGCCGCCTAGGATGCCAGACGAGAGCTGAGAGTCACGAAGTTTAGAGGACCGGTGCGAAAGAGACAAAATCACTCCCCTGCAGAGACCTTCAGATGGATCTTGATAGAACGTGAGTCGGAACTTTCTATCAAGTGTCTCAGTTTCTGCAGGGACTTTGAGATGGACCTTGATAGAAAGCTGATTTTAGACTAGTTGACCACTTACTCTACACGACTGGACCGACTGGACCTAGATGGGCGCAGGGGTGTCTTGGATCGAATGAGCTCGAAGTACGCGAAGTACCTAGTACCTAGTGACCTAGTGACCTAGTACTACTTGGATCATCCACAGTGACCTCCAAGGCCAGGGTAGAAACATGAATTCCCCTCCAAATACATGCTGGGAACCACAAAGTGTGCCCAAAATTTTGGGATAGGACTTGTCTATCTCAACACCAAGGTCCCAGCACTACTTTGGGATCTTTGGGCCTTCATCGATCTTCACCGAATGTCCGACCCACTCAACCCTCTTGGGGGAACAAGTGAGTGAAATCGGAATCCTCTCAAAGCACCCCGCTTGTTCCATTTCCGACCCCCCAAAAGGGCGAGGTGCCAGGATCCTCGTCTTGGGCCAGGAGGTCAACGTGTCCCGGCCATGCTTGTCGAAGGTCGCGGGCCGATGCGGATGCGAACTGTGGCAAAAGCCGCACTGGGCGCCCTGGGTCGTGCGGCTCGCAACGGCATGGTTCCGGCAGGCCGGCCGGACGGTCCAAAGAGTTATGTCACCCTAGGCTTCCAACCACCCTGTGGCTTTACCGAATCACCTAAGGATTTTACAGAATCCAGGTCAACCATTTTTTGATGGTCTTGGAAGTCTAGGGGTCATATAGCAGGATGATAAACACATGTCTTTACCGAGCTTCAAAGAAAAACCACAGGAGATCAGTACCAAAAGGATTAAACAAAAAAACCGTCGTGTCGAGACATGGCCTGATCGCATGATCCACGAGCAAACTTGATGCAAGGCCGGCGGCAAAGATGCGGGTGTCCCAAACTTCCTTTACTTCCGAAGCCTTCCACACGTGCGACGCAGGATTTACACGTGCGACGCACGTGCCTCGGACGGCCCAGAGAAGGCCGTGTGACCACAAAAGTCTCGTGAAGGTTCCAAAAATACTTGTTACTATAGTAGCCTCTTGTTCCTATAGTAGGATTGCCCTTGTTACTAGTAGCGCTGCCCTTTGTTAGAGGTAGCTTCTCAGCAACCGATCTGTTAAGTTCTTGGAGACTTTCCTCACAGTTTGACTCCTGCGGTAGCCTTCAAACCCGCCCGAACAATTGAGCCTTGATCGAACGAGGCGGAGTTGCTGGGCGTGTCGCTCTGCTTCAACTTGAGGACATCTGCGTTCTTCCGCAACTTGGCCACCTCTACTACACGGCACGCATGCGCTTTGATCATGTTTCATCAATTCACAACAAGGCTACTGTATATATATATATATGCTTATATATTAAGATCCGCGGCAAGGTCTCAGCTTGGGGGTCAAGCTTTGGCATTGGATACAGCTGCAACATCATTCTCATCTGATCCAACACTACTTCTCAAGACAAGGCACCTGCATGTAGCATTGCCAGTCCTGGTACTTGCTGGACTGACGCTCTGTAGCTGGACAGCTACGGGAACGTTTGTCGTTCTTCAACACTGGTTCCTCATCGATGAAGGTGAGATGATAGCGGAGCGCCATGGCGTCAGAAAGTCAGAAAACGCCCTACGGGCAAGAAGGTCAGCAGTGCTCTGACGAACCGAAAAAAGCTTTCAGAGCCGCGAGTTGGGTGCATGCATCCTTCCAAATGGAGAAAATCTCTCTGCGCTGATCAGGCGATGAGACTAGCAGGCCTTCTATGTGCGTCTAGAAGCA